AATTTAAAAGGGAAAAATTAAGATAGCAATCCTTCTCCAAATATCTAGATGCAAAGTCATTCTTGCCAGGCTCTTCAGGGAGTTACATAAAGAAATGGAAGGCTGACCATAATGTTTACATGAAGCCACAGGGCAACCGGAAGAACCAAATGGTCTTTAAAAAATACTGAAATAGAAACAGAGTAAGAGACCTTATCCTTCCAAATTTCATTTTTTTTTCCTTCAAATTAAAATGATGTGGCATAGACATATAGACCAGTGGAATAGGGACGAAAATCCAGAAGGAAGCCCCAACATCTGCAGTCACTGATAGAGGTGCCAAGATCATTTAATCAGGAAAACTGTTTTATTCAATTCCGGAACTGCAGGGACTCTAGACAACCACATGAGAAAGAATAAAGTTAATCCCCTGCCTCACACTATACACCAAAATTTGTGCCATACAGGATAACGACCTAAATATAAAAGCTAAGCTACAACATGAGCAACAGAATTTAAAATAGCTGGACATTATAAAAATGAAAGCTTTTGTTCATGGAAGGATGCTATGGTTAGAGGGATTATATGGAAATTTACTCAAAAACATGCCCACAATGGACAATAACCCCGTGAAAAGGCTACAAAGACATTAGTTACTGGAGAATGGCAAGAAGTCTCAATCCACTAGCTCTCCACACACAGGATGATGAAACAAAACAAAAAATGGCAAGTGTTGAAGGGACACTGGGCAATTGGATCCCTTGAGTATAAAATGGTGTGTATGAAGGACACTGAAGAGATTCCCCAGTAGTTAAACAGAAACAGCATATAACAGCAATTCTACATACATACATATATACATACATACATACATACATACATACATACATGTGTGTGCGCACATGGGCTTTACAGTTCTCAGAAGCAAACTGTACAAACACACCACCTCCCATGTTTTGACACAGTAGTATCCACATTCACCAGCTTCAAGATTAAGACCAGCTTCCATGAGTCATCAGCTGGTCTGATTTTCCAAGTCACTGAAAAATATTTTCCAGTTGCGGTTGATTTCACAAACTAGCTCTGTGATCTTGGCCCCAAGTTCCTATAAATAATATCATTAGAATATCTTGTGAAAAGTGCCAGTGCTCTGATCCCACAGAAACTTTATTAAAAGGGGAAAAAGTCAACCTTGAAGCTTTTTACTAGGAGACGAGAAAGTAGAGTTTCCTGTACGTTGATTTAAATAATTTGCATGCATAATTACCACCTATACAGCCAATATATGTGCCTCTTTATAATCTTTTTCTCATTCTGTCTTTATAATTGAACAATATAGTTTTATTTTGTGAAAAATACACAAAACTAATCATAGAAAATTAACATCATAAAAACTAAAAAATTAAAATTAATACCTTACACAGTATGTGGATACATATATATTTCTTATTACTGGAAATAAGTATAAGACCTACAGATAAAATTCAACACCTCTGTGTATTTCTGGTTCCATCTCAGGCTCAAAAAAAAAACTGGACCCAATTTATTCTCTTTTTGTAAAAGCGGGACAGTAATTGCTGCCTATTTGTCTGGTTGTTTTAAGGATTAAATGTGTTCATATACAACCATGTTCAGCAAAATGCTTGGTGTATGAATTCTTAATGGCAATAAAATAAATAAAAGGATTATAAAACTTACCCTTAGTGACAGTTAGTAACTTTACAATGTTGTGTGTCACAGATAATTTCCATGGTCCCCAAAGGACAAATCAGGCTCATTAGACAGTCAATATGCCCTTCTCCCCCACCCCTAGCCAACCACTGATTTGTCTTCTGTCTCTATGGATTTCCTTCTTCTGTATGTATTACATAAGTGAACGGACACAAACTGACCTTTTATGTTTGGTTTCTCCCAGGTCTGTTTTCACTGTGGTGTCTTCATTCTCTTTAGAGCTGAGAAATTTCATTATATGGATATACTACACTATTTTATCCATACATCTGAGTAACTTCTGCCATTTGTCTGCTACAGTGAGCATTCATGTAGATGATTTTTTGTGAGTACCTACTTTCAGTATTTCATATATATATGTATATATATATATATATATATATATATATATATATATATATATGTGTGTGTGTGTGTGTGTGTGTGTGTGTATACAACCATACATATATACACAACTATACATAATATAACCATAATATACACTCATCTGTAAAAACCTCAAGAGTGTCGGCATGTGTGTGAATAAAACCTCTAAGTCTCTTATAAATTTTAGCATGCATACAAGTCTTTAGGGGGGAATTGTTACACACAGGCTCTGCCTCTAGGTTTGATGGGAAATCTGGGAGAGACATTTGCACGGCTTGTAAGTCTCCCTATAAGATGCAGATTTATAATCTCCATTGGCAAAGGGACTAGGGCCTGCCTCTAAAGTCACCTCTGTTCTCGCTGCACTCGCAGAAGTATTTTCAGCCTCCCTTCTCATCTGCTTTCGTGCTGACTGCCTGCAGTGAGATCTCGAACACAGAGCAGCTCCCTTGTTTGGAGAGCATCTCATTGCCCATTGGCTCTCAAGCTCTGATGTTTACTCACAGGTGCAAGATGGGAACAGGTAGGAAGATGGGGCATATTAATCATTAAAGGGGAAGGGAGAAGTTTGTGGGAAGTTCTTGGGTGTGCATGCCTTTTCTAAAGAAACAAAACAACAAACAAAAACAAAAAACAGGCAACACTGAACTCTAGCCAAAACCTTTTATATCTGTGTGGAATGGTGAGCTTGATGCTGCCAGATGTTTGAAGGTTTTTTTTTTTAAAGATTATTTATTTTTATTTTATGTAGATGGGTGTATGGGTATTTTGTGTCCATGTATGTAAGGGCATCATGTAAATGCAATTCAAGAAGATAGCACTGGATCCCCTGGAACTAGAGTAATCAACAGTTATAAGTTGCCAAGTGGGTGCTGGCAACTGGACCCTGGTTCTTGGCAACAACAGTAAGTGCTCTTAGTCACTGAACCACCTCTGCAGCCGCTGAGACCTTTCAGGCTTTAGAAGAGCCAAAATCTGTTGTTTTGTGTGTGTGTGTGTTTTAAATTTAAAAATGCTAATATTTTAAGGTTGACAGTGAGTTGTTTCTATTTTTATTTTTTAAGCCTTATGCACCCAAACAACTATACATATTCTCTGGCAATGAGGTCGAGATGTCAGCAATCTCCCAGCATTTCTCAGGACTCTGAGTAGCCAGCGCCAAGAAGCCTGGGCCCCAATATCCCACACATGACCAACTGCCAAGGGTGGAACTGAATGAAGAGTTGAGACCATTGGAGCCCAGATTGGAACATGTAACTGATTCTGACCTCAAAAGCTAGAATTATGCCTTAGGACATCAAGTTGACTTATGGTGGTGCCATCCAAGAAGGATCTAAAATCATCTGCGTTTGCTATTCCCTTTTCTGATACATATATGAATAGAAAATACTAAGTAAAGATGGTATAGATAAAACAATGACTCAAACTTCAAGGTTCAGCCCAACTATTTCAACACATCCTGAAACCTAATTGAGAGCTGTGGAAGTTACTCTATTTCTTGATTTGAATGTATTCCAGCAAGAAACAATCAAGACATTTTTGCAATTTATTTAGAAAAGACTTGCTGGTAGTTTCGCTGTGGGAAGCACAGGCAACTGTTTTTCCCGTAAACCTGATTACTTACGTGAGTTTCAGTAATGACCCCTACTTGATGCCTTATTTCTGATCAATTCTCTTTGAAAGTGACGTCCCATTTCTCTCTACATGCCCACACAGAAACATGAATCCTGAATGCAGTGTGCTGCATCCTATTTAGGACATACAAAAATTGAATCCTTTCTCAAAGGAATGAGATTATTGAAAACCATCTGAAAGTCTGGCCAAAGGATGGAAAAACAAACAATATTTGGGGACTACTGCTCACAGGTGAGTACTTGGACAAGTATTTTCTCCAAAATTTCTAAGTTTCCTGTTTCCAGGTGCCTATGAAAATGAGGCATGGAGAAGCAACGTGTACCCAATGTTCTGAATGATACAGCAGGGACTTAAACCCCATTTTGTTGTATTTTGGTTTTGGTTCTTTGTTGTACATAGATACAACCCATCACACCATAACACATAGCCTCTGAACATAGGCTAGTCAGGAGTAAGGGGGATGAAGAATTAGATAAGAGCTAGGGACATTCTGCTTCAATGGTTCCTTTTTATATACTGTCTTTAAAAACAGAAGAGCATCAAAGTGGCTGAGGAAAATCTCTAATTGGCAAAGGTCCCCAAGTACACCTAACACTGCACAGAGCTGCTTTGTAATCAGCGGACTAGTGTGACCTCTCTGGCCCCATGCCTGGGATAAGATGCAACTTTGATGAAGCCACTCTCTATACCCAAAGTCTCTGCTTTGTTTTAGTCAAATCATTAAAAAAATGATAAACTTCTTAGGGGTTTCTCTCATACTCAGAGTTGACAATAATTATGACATGTGAGTGTGTGCGTAGATGTGTGTGAATGAGTGTGTGTTTGTGTGTGTGTGAATGATTGTATGTGCATATGTATGTGTGTAAATGAGTGTGTGTGTATGTGAATGATTGTGTGTGTGTATGTGTGTGAATGAGTGTGTATGTGTGTGAATGAGTGTGTATGTATGTGAATGATTGTGTGTATGTATGTATGTATGTATGTGTTTGAATGAGTGTGTGTGTATGTGTGTGAATGAGTGTGTGTGAATGATTGTATGTATAGTATGTATGTATGTGTGTCAATGATTGTATGTGTATATGTATGTGTGTGAATGAGTGTGTATGTGTGTGTACAAGCTGCTGTCTTACTGTTACTCTAGAAGTTACTGGGCAGTGGCATTACCTAATGCTCTAGTGATCATTCCTATGCAATCAGTGGATTATTCACTTTTTGTCCCCTATAAATGATTCAAGCATATTCCAAGAGCAATCTCGTTTGTATTTCCCACTTACTTTAATGTATCTTACCTTTGCTTTGACTGTCAGGTCCTCATGCTTACAGATTAGCTCTTTGTTGTCTGAAAGCGATGAACCCAGACTTTGTTCCTGCAGATCTCTTATTGTTTTCTGAAACCAACAAGAAACCTGGGAAAGAGGTGAGAAGAAAGGACCAATATTTAAATGATCAGGATAGAGGATTTAAACTCAGACATAGTATTGCAACATTTCAAAACAAAGTGTATCAATCTCTTTCTACATAAACTATCTTATAAATGATGTTAATATCATCCAGGTTTTTAATGTTCTCTTTATTTCAGCCTCTCAATGCTTAAGGAAAGAAAAGACAAAATAATTGGAGAAAAGCACAGGCATCGGTTGCTTAGCAGCTCAGTGAATTATAAGGCATGAGGAAATGAGTCAGCATCTTCTCCAAAAGCCACAGTGTGTTCCCATGCAGTCCACACATCTTGCTTCCTTTTCAAATGTAACTTTCTTTCTATATATAAACGTGAATCTGAATATAGTTACACAGACCCAGTTAAAGATACTGAACAGCATATGTGGAATCATATTTTCTAGTACACAAAAAGAAAATACAAAAGTATTTCATTTGCAGTCGCTGGTGGGAATCTGTATTGAGAAATGAAATGAAACAGCTATTAAATTCCACTGACATTGTAAGAACAGGACTCGGGTACCAAGGACATGTATAGTTGACTCACAACACATGACAGACACACAGTGTCAAGAAAACAGATATTGTGGAAATTGAATGCAACAATAAACACTTTCTTACTTTAGTTTTTTAATTAATTAACTTTGGAGGACACTGAATGCTCAATGCTGACATTGAACCCAGGATCTTACACAGACCGAACAAACATTCTACCATTAAGTCTGTGGTGCTGCAGTTTCAGTGAGGTCAAATTTTAAGAGATACTGTAACTTGATGTGAGACTTCTGACTTAAGACTCCTGAACATAAGAACCTTGACATCCATCAAATGAATTGCAGCTAGATTTGTACTCTCTGCTTCTGTATAGAATTATCCCTGAATCCTATCAGAATGACTAATTCATAAGAGACTGCACTATAAACTAGATATGTGGCTAGTTGGTTTGAGAGCATCATCTTTGGTTTTCTCAGTAAGTCCACAACAAGAGAAATATAATCATACAAACGTACAGTACAGCAGAAGTAAATGAATTTGGAGAGCCGAAGCAGTTTATCTAGAGACAGATGGTAACCTCAGAAGAAGGATCTACCCCTAGTGTACATAATTCCAAAATCCATGCTCTTCTGCTGTGCCCCACTACTATGCTCATGTCACCTACAGTCTTTCAGCTCTGTCGTCTGAAGGATACTGTTGCCAACCTCAAAGATGAAAACTGGCAGCCTGCACAAAACGGTAGGCATAGCCAAGAGTCATACTGTGTCTTTCTGAGGCCTTGGTTATCTTGTCTACACAGCCATGGGCTTTCTTCCAGCTCCTGTAACAGGAAGGAATACATGAAGCAGGAGGCTGAGGAAAGGGTGTCAGGTCTAAAGTTCCAAACTGAAAATGTGCCTCACACTCCACAGATGGCAGCCGTAGAGGCTCACCCCAGTGAGATGCCTGTGTACCAGGAGGGAACTGATGTAGCAGCTGATCTTGAGAGCAGAAGGTCTGGACTAACCCGGCATTTCCCCAGCACAGGATAGGGAATAAGTTATGGAGCAATGGGGTTTCTCCAGCTTACCAAAATGTTAGCCCTTTAACAGTGCAAGCAAAATATCCACATTTACCCTGTAGCCATTTTTATGTGACATTCACCTTCTTCATAATATTGGTAAACTATGTGATATATATTTCACATTATATAAACATATATATATATATAGTATTTTTATATATTTGTAATTCCTTGAAGCCATTTTTTTCTGATAGCCAATTAGAAGAAGATAAGTACAAAGTACATAGGAGAACTCAGGGAGGGTACTTAAAGAAGAACACTAAAATTTTATTTTACTTTTATATAAAATAATTTTTTACAATAGTGCCAGTTTACAAAAAATGTGAGCTGAAGGGTGATTTGGGGGTTTTCCTCAAAGAGCGCATGAGAATAACTAACTCCTGGAGATTATTTTGTTGTTGAGGACCAGAAGTGAGTGTTTTCTATTCCTAGCTAAAGTTGGGGTGGAGGTAGACATCTCAAGAATGTTTTATTGTGAGCCAGCTAATATGGACACTGAGTGAATGAAACAAAGGAGGAAGCAGGTGTTCATTAATCTCCCTAAACAGGTGAGAAGCCTGAAGCCCCAGATAATCCTATTTAATTTGTGAGTCAAATATTTGTCATCTAACACATGTCAGAGATGATGAAACCTAGAAGGGAGGGAGAGAGAGATTCTGTGATTTTTTTTCTCCTCCTCCTCCTCCTCCTCCTTCTCCTCCTCCTCCTCCTCCTCCTCCTCCTCCTCCTCCTCCTCCTGATATGGGATCTTAGCATATAGCTCCAGATGGCACATAGACTAGGTGGGCTTCCACCTCATGGAGCTCTGCCTTCCTCTGCTCCCCACTTACTGGGATTGAAGGTCTGCACTGCTGAAACAGCTTGTTTTGACTTTTAAACGGTGTTGGTGTTGACTGACTTCGCCCTGTAGATCTGGCTGACAATGTTTCACCCTTCAAAAGCTACTACTCCTAACTGAGCAGTGCTCTGGAGGTAGAAAACTATGGTGATATTCATTATCTTCCATCCTGTCTTTCAAGACATATGACTCTCTAGATCTACACACTGGTTTTTTTCTGACCAGATACACTTCAGGGAGAAACACAAGTTGGTATGAATGCTTGAAGTAAGTAGATCATCATTAGCATGTTACATCTCATCATGAGGCATTCAGACATATGAGCCGTCTCATAGATCACACTCACCACCTGTGCTATGAGATGCACACAAACGGGCTCAGAGTCCTTCTCAGGCTAAAATAAGACACTCTAAATAACCACAAGAGTATCCACCACAATGCTCTGATACCCAGTCAATCATTCATTACATCCCACAAGTAGTTACTACAGACAGCTGCACAGCTATTCCAAGGGTTCTTTTTATAAGCCTTTAAATTGCATCAGTTGCTGTCCAAAAAGCTTGAGTGATGAGTCCAGCCAGTGAATACTTCTGCAGAATAGGAGGCATGTGGGGACGAAGAGAGAACAAAACAAACAAACAAACAAACAAAAAACCCAGAGAGCTCACTGGAAATTGGTTCTGTGTATCAATCAGTAGGGTAGAGGAGAAACGAAAACGTTCCCTTGCCTGTCTCAGTGCCTACGATCCAGTTTGACTCAACTCATGTACTTACAACCACTCTGTTAACCACATGTTAACCACATGGCTTCTAGGTCTTTAAAGGAGGCAGGACTGAGTCAGAGAAGATATGAGACAGATCTTTTGGGTGCCTGAGATATCCATTGGATGTAGACAATCCATTGGTAAAGACGGACAGAAGTGAGTCAATAAAGATGCAAAGAAGAAAAGAAGGAAGGGAGGGAGGGAGGGAGGGAGGGAAGGAGGGAAGGAGGGAAGGAGAGGGAGGGAGGGAGAAAGGGAGGAAGGGAGAAAGGGAAGAAGGGAGAGAGGATGAGAGGGAAGGAGGAGAAAGAAGGAGGGAAGAACAGAGGGAGGGAGGGAGGAAGGAAGATTGGGATGCTAATAAAAATTAAGAATTATCTCTAAGGTTTAAGAAGAGTGGCAGAAAAATTCTGCCAGGTAGGTAGACTTGCACTGCCCAGTAGAGTAACTACCAGCAGCACACTAGCTGGGTTATGATTAGTGTAACCTGAAAAAAGCTGCAAGTATTAGCTGCATATCAGAGAATATGGGCTTTGGATATTTTAAGAAGAGCAAATACCTCATTAGCAATATTACTACTCATTGTCTATCAAAATGATGTTTGGATATGTTGAGGTAAATAATGTATATATTTTTTTACTTCTTATGTGGCTTTCTACTTTTTAAATACTTCTTATTTTACTCTTCTATGACCACTGGGATATTTAAAGTCATATATATCCATTGCATTATATTTTACTTGGCTGGCTGTGTTAGCCAAGGGCACTCAGAGTATCTTTAGTTGTTAAGTGTAAATTTGAAGACTGACTCAGATTTAATTAAGGAGAATTTAAACAGCAGAGCCAGGAGAAGGGCGGAGTGAGTTATCCGTCAGTAAACATTCAGGGACTTCCACGTTGTCATAAAGAAGATCTAAGGAATCTTTTACAGATGTTGACTGATCTCATCAGCTAAGTATTGGAAGATGGTTTTAGATACCTCTGCAGATACAGCAGAAATATTCACTTCAGTCTTTTAAAAACTGCTTACTTGTTGAAGGGACTGAAGAAACTGAGGGGTTTTGCGGCCCCATGTGGGGAGCAACAGTGTTAACCAGCCAGATTCCCCTGGAGCTCCCGGGTACTAGACCACCAACCAAAGAGTACACATGGAAGGACCCATGGCTCCAGCCGCATATGTGACAGAGGATGGCCTTGTTGGACATCAGCGGGAGGAGTGGCCCTTGGGTCTGAAGTGTTCCATGCCCTAGTGTAGGGGAATGCAGGGCGGGAAGACGGGAGTGGGTAGGTGGGTGGAGGAGCACCTTCATAGAGGCAGGGCTGGGAATGGGATAGGGGATTTCTGAAGGGAAGACCTGGAAAGAGGAAAACAATTGAAATGTAAATAAAGAAAATATCCAATAAAAAATAGAAAAAAAACCCACCCTGCTTTCTTTGAGTGGAGGAGATTCGGTTTGTTTCAGTGTGATGAACTGAGGGTGTATAAGAATTGGAGGGGTGAACCAGACTAAGAACTGAGCAGGAAGTTAAAGACTGCTGTGTGTGCTAGCCTTGGACAAGGAAGGGTTTATCAGCTGAACGTTCTACCTCCACCATGCCTACTGAAAGAAATGAATGAAGAAAGTAAGGAGAGAAGATAGTGAGGCAACCAATGAGGAAAGAGAGAGAAGATAGGGTGAATCACTAGCCCACGTTCCTGCAGCCGGTGAGGAGGGTTGGAGGCAGTAATGCCCTGGTCGGACTCCATGCTTTCTGATCCAGCATTATCTTTCTTCTCATCACACCCTTCTATTGAAACAAAGGATTCTGG